TCGCACAAAGCCACGGACCTTGGAGTTCTGTCCCTGAGACAGAGAGTATGAAACCCCTTCCTAGTCTGAAAACCTTGGCAATGACTATTTATTCCGAATTAACTGAGATTATGGTTCCTGCCTTCAGATGTATTAGTGACACACTGAAGTACATAGCTTGGAAATTGCATGCCCTCCCTGCCGAGCCAATGAGCAACATGTACACCTTTGTCAGCTGCCTGGAGTGGCACTGGGCACACTGCCTGGGAGAGTCTACCCAGGGTGAGTGGCTGGAAAGGCAGTGTTAGGTTAGGGTGGCAGAAGTCAGCAGGAAGAAATCAGAACTTTAATAATTATTTAACCGAGCACAATCTGTAGTAATTCCCTTCAGAACAGATGCAGTACTCAACTGCAGAAACTCAAAAGCGAACATTTTCAGTGAACCCAATTAGAAGAGGATAAAAAATACATGATGTAAAAAATGCATGATGTACATGCAAGACCCCTCATCACAAACTGCAGGAGATACATTAAAAGGTCGGGAAAAGGAGGGCTCCCGGGTCTCGGGAGAGGCATCATTGACAAATTGTCCTGGGATCTAAGGCAGGAAGCAAGCCCAGGAGCACGGCCATGGAAGAAGATTGAAGTGGAGCAGCATGGATTTGGGGTGTTCAAAATGGAATTGGGGGCTCTTGTTTAAAAGGGCCTCAGGCATGTCTGCAGGTGAACTCGTGAACTGGCCTGGCTTGTGCATACTCGCCTGGGTGCCCCGAGCTGATGAACTGGGCCACACTGCTATTTCTGGAACAAAATTCATGAGCCTTTACACCCGCTTGTGGAAACATCTCCCTTGCTTCCTGGGACTGTACCCGGCCCCCTTCCTGTAAGGAAGCTTGATCTTTGCTGTGCCAATCGTAATGCCTCCCTCCCCAAACAAGAGCTGTCGTTAACGACCCTTCTTGTTTAGGCTAGGAAACAAGCCACCGCTTTGTAAAATCTCAGAGCACATTTTCAAGATTTGATGAATTCGGTGCCTCATGGTTTGCAATCCTTCTAAGCCACAGATACATGTAAGCTTTTCGTGGAGACTAGGTTGATCTTACGTCCCTCCTCAGGCGTGATGAGCGAAGGGGAGGTTGAGAGGAATGGTTGAGTGGGGAAAGAGGAGTTGACACAGCAGTCACAGAAGGGAAAATGCTGGGTGCCCATCGGGTAGAACAAGGTCTTGGGAATGCGTAGCCAACCTAAATGTGGCGAAAACAAGCACAGCACACTTAAGAGTCTTAAAAGAAGCTCTTGCTCAGGCTTAGAGTGAGATAATTGGGATACGGCTTGAGCTGAAATGTGCTTTTGTTGTCTAAGTGGAAGAAGGGTATGCTAAGAAAATTAACAGTAAGGCAGCACGGCAGGGAGGGTGTACAAACAAAGGAAACGAACTGTGTCCAATCACCAATGCACTTAGAAGCCATCATTTACATATAAAACATAGTTAGGCTAATTGCATATTATTTGTAACTACCAGCTGAAGGAGGTTCCAGGAAAGATCCTCATTAGACAACATTCAGCAATCTTGGGTCGTGTTTCTCACCTCACCTAAGAGTGATAAAACTGAGTTTCATTTGCATGATTTTATAATTTAGGTAATTTACTTGTTCAGACAGGTCTCCCTCCCAGTTACTTTTAATTAGGTTTCTCATCACTAAGTGTGCAGGATTCAGCAAACATTGCTAGCAAGTTCTCTGGCAAAATTAAGGGCTTTTGTGCATCTTTGTCTTTGGATGGCCTTGTATCTAGGTGCCCCATACACTATCTGAAGAGCCAGGTCTCACCTTCCTTGAAACTTCTGTTGGATCTGAGAAACGCACGGGGTTCCCTAATGATGCTGTGGCCTGCAAACTGAGGAGGTGAGCTCAGCGGAACCTTGACCACACAAGAAACGGGCACACGCGAAGCAAAGCAGGGCTTGTGCTGAGAACCTGGAGCCCAGGCCACACGGGGTTAAGTCACACAAAGCCCAGGATCAAGGAGAGGGCAGGGGAATTCACCCTGATCTTCCTGCAGATCTCCAACAAGCCCCACGGTGGGTAGGACAGCTGAGTGGGTTAGTGTGGTGAGAGCAGAGCCAAGCACGTGGCGTAGACATGGGAGGAAGGAAAAGGCTTGAAGCCTGTCAGAGAAGGACCAGGAAGCTCTAGGCTGGGATGCCGTGTCTGCTGCTGGGAGAGTTTTGGGGTGCAGAGAGGAAGGGCTCAAGTGCTGGGTAGCAGACTAAGTTAGAAGCCCAGGGGCATGACCAGGCAGGGCCACAACACTGTGGGTGTGAATCCCCAGGGCTAAACCAGGTACTGGGTGCCAGCCAGTGGCACACAACTGGTTCCATACCCCTCCCACTGTGTCCATAGCTTACCGTGGTCCCATTTTCTTAGAAACAGGCTAGGGATGAGCTGAACGTGCCTGGCGAGCGGGCTCTCAGTGCATACAGCTGGAAGAGGCCAGGCCAGGCAGAAGGGACTGATGGGCAGAATCCTGATCAATAAGACTCCCGCCTCTGTCATGGAGAAAGCAAACTTTCTTTTCCTGTTCTGACAGAAATGTCGGTGTGTGGCAGAAGAATACCACTGCACTTGGTTAAGCGGTGATGTTTATTGAGTTTGCCTAGCCTGGTGCTGGGGCCTTGAGAGTGCATGAAACTAACAGGAGGCATTCCTTTCTGCCAAGGTCACGGTGCCCATGTCTCTAACACGTCCACCCCAAACACGATGGAACCACAGTTTTAGACAGTGATGCAGTAAGTGGCAAGGAAGAGGTACAGTTCATGACACTAAAGAAATTCAGAGGAGGGAAGAAGCAAGAAGGGCTTCAGGGAGAAAGCAATCCAAGCTGAGCATTAAAGAATGGGTAGAATTTAGACACACACCGGTGAAGATGGAAGGCAGGTCCAGACGGAGAGACACACCGTAGGGTGTGAGAATTAAATGAGATACTTCGCAGAGGTCACTGCCAGCTCTGACACCAAGACAGGTCACAGCAAAGCTGATGCACAGCTTTTGCTATTTTTGTTGCTTCTGCTACTTCTCCTGCTGTGGCCGTTTTTAATTTTTCTGCTACTTTCTGCAAAGGTAACGGAGATTACAGGACACCCTTGGGCACTAGTAGAGAGGGCACAGTTTTTGGTTTTCTCCTTAAGAGGTAAGCAGGATGAAAGGAGTTACTGTGAGCAGGGCTTCGCAGCAGAACTTCCTGTATCATCAGAGCATGTGTGCTCTGGGTGTGCTCCAGGAGGCCCAGGGGAAAAAATCATGCCAAGAAATGCCAGCCAGACTCCCACAAACACCGCCCCCCACCGCCCCTGACTTCCGTGTCACTCGGAACCACTGAATCCTCTCTCCAAAGACGAAGTGAAACATTCTAAGCTCCCGGCCAGACATAACTCCCTTCTTTCTGATTTTCTGTGTATTCCCGTGGTCCAATTGTTTTCCCACCAACAGCTCAGCAGCAATGAGAGCAGAGGGCGTGCTCCCACGTGGGGCTGCGATGGAGTTGCCAGGACAGAGTACAAACACTGGATGAGAGCGGGCAGGGATCTGTTCCTGTATTCAAAACATCCCCTCAGGTGCTACATTCAAAAAAAGGGCAAATGAAATTTCAGCCAGGAGTGCTTATTGCCTGAGTCTCGGAACAACTGCCTTATTGCTGATGATTATCTCCTTTGCAAGGGGCAGTCTCTCTTCATTCTGTTTGCTGTCATGTTCTATAAATATCAAAGGCTACAGAGGCAGCGTCAGAGAGGAGTCAGTTGCTTCCTGGGTGCACAAAGCTTGCAAACGTAGGCTTTCTGGATCTGCAGGCTGATTTCAAACAGGGAGTCAGTCGTTCAGGCAACGGTAACTCCAACTGCACCTTGTGTGCTACACGGCAGAGCTAAGCAGCCGGGCTGTGCGTGAGCATGCAGTGGGAGGGGACTCTGCAGCCCGTGGAAGTGATGTGTTCAGGCTCTGCTGTGCTACAAGATCTCTGTCCTGAGTGTGAAGCCGCCTTGGGGAGAGCTCCCTGCTCAAAGTTTTGCTCTGAGCTATCGCAAAGGAGCGAACCTCCAGTCCAGAGGTGGATGTTACAGTGATTTTACCTTATCGTGTAAAACCTAAATCATTTCAGGAACATCAAGAGGTTTAAAAAAAAAAAAAGCAACAACTAGAATATTCCTTGAGTAGCTTCCTGTTTTGTGTATAGAACCAGTTTGAGACCTGTCAACTATCTTTACGACTACACATGCCGTGTAACAGTGTGGGAAGCAACCCGACAAGACAGCACTCCGACCCAAGAAGCACTAAACTGCTGTTTTCCAGGTGCCTGGTATGTGCCTGTTCACAATGTCTTGCTTTACAAAAAGGAACAGTAGTAGCTTAATGAGGATTATTTTCTCAAAGTGGCTCTTAGATCCTGTGACGGTGAAACTCTGCAAATCAATTCTTTCACTTGTTCCAGGAGGCAACTTGTTGCAAGCAGGAGCACCACTGGCTACAGTCTATTTCTCACTGGTGTTCAATGAAATGGATCAACAAAGAAATTGTGGTCCTTGCTGCCTTACTCAGTGCCGTCTCTCACTGCATCAGGCACTGCCCGGGATGTGGGCTTTCCCTGTCTCTGATGTTCCTAGCAAAATGTCCCCAGCTCTAACTTCGACCAGAAACAGACATTTCAAGCCTTGCTGTGGGATTAGCTAAACGTGCTTTTGCCTAAGGAAAGGGAGAAGGTAAAAAATCATCCACTCAAAATGATACTTGTGATTCACACATTTGCAGAACCAACGGCAGCAAAAAACATACCGTATATTCACAGGAAGCTACAATATAGATTGTTACACACTGAAGAAGTTGCTGCTGTAGCCCCCCCCCCCCCAGGTTGTTATTTTGTTTTTTAAATCCTTTTTAGACACCCATGCACAATATGATATGATATGTTAGCCCCCTTAAGTTCTTCTGTCTTATTGCTTAAAGTCAGCGTGGCAGGCGAGGACTTACCTTAAAGGAGTAGTAGAAGGAGCCCCACTCCTCCCCTTCCACCACTTCGGTGAAAGTCTCCGTTTCTGTGCAAGTGGCCGGGGAAGAGCCTTGGGTCAGTGTGCTCTGGGTGGAAGGGGCGCTGCCCTCCGTGTGGTTGGCTGGCATGGCTCCGGCGGGGTTCAGCCTCCTGTCCCCACGCCTGCAGCAAGCAAGGGAGTCCAGCTCACCTCCCAAGAGCTGGGCAGCAGCTGCAGCTCGCCACCTCCTCTGCCTCACGAGGCTTCTGGCTGGAGCTCGGCTGAGCAGAGGCACAGAGCCCTCCCTGAACCCACCTCACTGAAGAGCTCTGCTTGACAACAGGGAGCATCCTCCAGCTCTCTCTCCTTGATGGTTGTGAGCCGGTAGCCGGCAAAGCACTCCTTCCCCCGCAGTCCCTCCCAGGGCAGGTTGGGGCCCCTCATAGATTCCTACATACTTCCAAGGACAGGCCTATCGCCTAGTTGCATTTCCTAACTTCCACTGTGGAATCTCACTTGTGCCCTGCTTATAAATATAGGAATTTGGATTAATCAGCAGGTCCACTCATGGAGGTCATATTTGCACTTGTGAAATCAAATCATAATTATGCATTTATTTCGGCTGAGCTTGCTTTGTGACCTCCAGTTCTCACCCTGCCCTTGGCTTAGCAGTGTGTACATTATTGTAGTAAATGTAGCCAAATGGTACATTGGCCCAAAGGGTATTCAAAAAGTCCATAGAAATGTGTATTATTGAAAAAAAAAAAGCCATACAAGGATTTTTTTTTTTTTTTGGACAGGCAGAGTTAGAGAGAGAAAGGTCTTCCTTCTATTGGTTCACTCCCCAAATGGCCGCTATGGCCAGCGCACTGCACCAATCCGAAGCCAGGAGCCAGGAGCCAGGAGCCAGGTGCTTCCTCTTGGTCTCCCATGCAGGTGCAGGGCCCAAGCACCTGGGCCATCCTCCACTGCCTTCCCGGGCCACAGCAGAGAGCTGGATTTGAAGAGGAGCAAACAGGACAGAACCAGCGCCCCAACAGGCACTAGAACCCGGGGTGCCGACGCCGCAGGCGGAGGTTTAGCCAAGGGAGCCGCAGCGCCGGCCCATACAAGGATTTTAAACATTTAGCACCAAAAATAAACTTGTCTTTTAATTCCATTTTTTTCACAAACTTTTTGAAGTGTCCACACACTTGACATCTGTGGTACTATCTTGATTGCACAGGGCAGTAGTCCAAAGAGAGCGAGGCCGATGTCTGCCCACAAGTTGGGACCTCCTGCTGTGGCTGGGCAGTGCCCAGGGAAGACTTCAGGGCTCAGGTGTGTTTGCCTCAGCTCCTGCCAAGGCCCCGTGCTTTGGGTGAGCTCAGGGCAGCACCCTTGGTACTCTGGAGAGGGGTAGGCAAAGATAGTAACAGCTGCTCCTACTTGACAAAAGAAGACCCTGGAAGATGCATTTACATGTTCTTTCCTTTGGTTTCCAAAACAGCTCTCTAAGGTAGGCAGGGAGAGCATCCTGATGTTCTGCTTCTTCGCTACAAGAGACTGCTCCAAGATAGGACGTGAGCTGCCCGAGGTCCCCCAGCTGGTGAAGGAAATGAGCTGACAACCATGTCTTCAGGAATGCCAAGACTGAGGTGCTTTTCTTGTAGCACAGACTGATCTGCATGGAGCCTCAAATGCCTGCTGGGGTGCTGGGGCATGGGGTTAACATAAATACGGGTAGTGGGCCAGATATAAAACCATAGGGCCGGTGCCGCGGCTCACTAGGCTAATCCTCCGCCTTGCGGCACCGGCACACCGGGTTCTAGTCCCGGCCAGGGCGCCGGATTCTGTCCCGGTTGCCCCTCTTCCAGGCCAGCTCTCTGCTGTGGCCAGGGAGTGCAGTGGAGGATGGCCCAAGTGCTTGGGCCCTGCACCCCATGGGAGACCAGGATAAGTACCTGGCTCCCGGCTGCGGCCAGCGCGGCGGCCATTGGAGGGTGAACCAACGGCAAAGGAAGACCTTTTTCTCCCTTTCTCTCTGTCTCTCTCTCTCACTGCCCACTCTGCCTGTCAAAAACAACAACAACAACAACAACATAGGAACCAGGTTGCTTGTGTTGCTGCCAGGCAGGCGTCATCCCCAGCGATGCACACTGAAAACACAGTGAAGCCACTGGTTTGTGGTATCTTGTTTAAGAGGGAGCTTGTTTAGCCACCATCACTAAACACCATGGCCCCCATGAAATCACATGGGCAAGTGTTAGCATAATCCACACATACCCAGGTGGGAACAGTGAGAGTGATGGGAAGACATTTCATCCACGCTGACGGCAGCAAACAGGAGAACAGAAGACTGGTGGAGCTGTGGGCTCGAAGGGCAAAGACCAAAAAGAGGACAACAATGCAACAGCAAAGTGAGCAAAGGAAATTGCAACAGGCAAGTCAACGTGGACAAACTAGTAACGAAAAGCAACTTAAAACAAGAACTTTTCCCTATTCATATAGGGAAACTAAGGTATGGCTACCCCTAAGTGTTGACGAGATTGAGGAAAAAATGTATATGCTTTTAAAAATACACATATTTTGGGGCTGGTGCTGTGGTATAGCTGGTAAAGCTGCCACCTGCAGTGCTGGCATCCCATATGGGCGCCGGTTCAAGTCCTGGCTGGTCCACTTCAGATTCAGCTCTCTGCTATGGCCTGGAAAAGCAGTAGAAGATGGCCTAAGTCCTTGGGCCCCTGCACCCATGTGGGAGACCCAGAGGAAGCTCCTGGCACCTGGCTTCGGATCGACGCAGCTCCGGCCATTGTGGCCAATTGGGAAGTGAACCAGCAGATGGAAGACCTCGCTCTCTGCCTCTGCCTCTCTTTCTCTCTCTGTGTAACTCTGACTTTCAAATAAATAAATAAATAAAAATTTTTTTTTAAAAGAAACATATCAACGCAACCCAGATTCACGGTGATAAAAATCAGTGAGATATTCCAAAGCGGAAACTACCACATACCTATCCACTAAGTAAATAAATTTTCATGTCATCATACTATGAAATACCGTAGAGCAACAAGAAAAAAAATGATTAGTGGGCAAAAATAACACTATAGATGAAATCCATAAACTTACTATTAAGCAAAATTACAAGTATGCGTATTTTCATTTATATGAAGTATAACTACAAGTGTGTACATATTTACATAGTAGAATATTATGCAGAAGGTACAAGCTACAGAATTCTAGACAGTGTGAAATTGCCCCAAGAATCAATGAACAGACCACTGCAGCAGAAGGGACACTTTAGTGAGACAGATACAACACTTTTACGTAACCACATACATGTGATCCCATGTATCCTATTATGTTTGCCTCATTCTGTTGGTTAGGAGCGATTCACAGGTGTGCTTGTGGCATAGCAGAGAAGAACCCACTCCTGTTCTCAGTTAAGGAAACTAAGGCTTGGAGAGTTGGAGTAGCTTGCCTTCCTTCCTTCCTTCCTTCCTTCCTTCCTTCCTTCCTTCCTTCCTTCCTTCCTTCCTTCCTTTATTAAGATCTATTTATTTGAAAGGCAGAGTCAGAGAGAGAAAAAGATATTTTCCATCTGCTGCTTCACTCCCCAAATGGCTGCAATGGCTGGAGCTGGGACTATCTTAGCCAGGAGCCAGGAGCTTCTTCTGGGTCTTCCACGTGGGTACAGGGCCCCAAGCACTTAGACCACCTTCTGCTGCTTTCCCAGGCACATTAACAGGGACATGGATTGGACGTTTAGCGGCCGGGACTTGAACCAGTGCCAGTATGGGATGCCAGCACTGCAGGCAACAGTTTAACCCGCTATGCCACAGTGCTGGCCCCTTGAGTAGCCTTCTTAGCTTCACACGAGTTCCTGATATATTTTGAATCTTAACCTAGGGCTCTGTCTCTAGAGCTCATTCTGGGCACTAATATACAATAGAAATGTCAGTGAGGACAATACTGCTGCCCTGCTACCAAGTGGACAATGCATTTTGGTCACTGGATAATCAAGACACTTTGGAAGTAACTGGACTTCAAGGTTGTGCGGCTGAGCCGTCTGCTGGAAACATCATGAACATATTGATTCCACTGATTGGATGGATTTGTCCTTCAACCTGTACTCTGAGAAATGTCAAAGGCTACCTTGCTTCTTTAGGAAAAGAAACTATCCAAATTTGGTTTTCTCTTGGCCTCAGATTTCTTACAGTAAATGACCATGTGTCCACTTCAGCTTTTGTGAGGATGGCCTTTTTCAGGTCAGCATCCACTAGCATTCTGCTCTGGATTTGGGGCCTGTCCATGTCTGCACCTGGGTCTGTGAAGAGCTCAGAGTTGCTTTAAGTGCCATGAAGATAAGCACAGGGGGAGGGTTACTGCACATGAAGGTGGCGGTGGCGGCTGAAGCACAGACACCACTGGTCCACTGGGTAAGACGTGTGCTCTTACTTAGGCACCTGATTACACGGTTTTCAAGCACGAATAAAAAGAAATTCCATCATAAAAACAGAAGCAAGTCACAAGTGTGCCCATACGTTAGAGGCAGGGTCACGTGCAGGTGTGAATTCTGGAGTCAAGTGTCATGGACTGGCTTAGAGTCTACCCTCCACACTCCCCTCAGTGCTCGTGACTGAGAGGGGAAGCAAATGAAACGGGCCAGGATGGAGTGCAGCTGAACACCTAAGGAACACCAACTGAAAATGCTGAGGTTCCTTCTGTAAGTAAATCATCAGGGAGAAATAGCTCAATCGGGGCCAGCGTTGTGTCCCACCAGGGTAGGCCACCGCCTGCAACTCTGGTGTCACATACAGGCACCGGTTCATGTCCTGGCTGCTCCACTTCTGATCCAGCTCCCTGCAAATGGTCTGGAAATAGCAGCAGAAGATGGTGCAAGTGCTTGGGCCCCTGCACCCACATGGCAGACCTGGATGAAGCTCCTGGCTCCTGGTCTTGAACTGGCTCGGCCCTGTCCATTGCAGACAGCTGTGGAGTGAAACAGCAGATGGAAGATCTCGCTCTCTCACTGTCTCTCCCTCTCTCTGTAACTCTGACTTTCAAATAAATAAATAAATCTTAAAAAAAAATCTGAATAGATGTTTTGATTGGCAGAAAAATAATGAGCTAAAAGACAGGTGAAAAGCTCTCAGAAGACATTGAAAGTGATAAGTATGACAAAATAGAAAAATCGTTAAGGAATATGTACAATACAAAATGTGTGAACATCCTTATAATGAGTGCCAGTGGAAGAGTTAAAAATAATTGGAAAGAATTGGAAAATAAGATTTATGAAATAATTTCATGTGTAATTCATAAGAATTATTTAAATATAGGGATTTCAAGTTATTAGGATTATATTTAACTAAAGATATTAAATACTATAAAATCACTGTTGAGAGAAATGAATAAAGACACGAGAAAA